CTCTCTCTCTCTCTCTCTCTCTAACATACTTAACACTATTGACTTGAACACCTTTAGGTCCCAACTCTAGTGCCAAACACTCGGTAAACATATTGACAGCGCTTTTTGACTGACAATACGAGTTGAGTGTCAACATCTTTAATACATTTATATTAATTATTATTATAACATTCACAAAAATTTAACAATATACTAATAAATTAATACAATAATTGCAGCTAATAGTTAAGATAGTACCGGTTTATATGCGTTCACACTCGATGTGTTAACAATGCATCCATTGCTGGCCACCAGATATGGCACCGATAGCTGTGTCAACACTTGCATCGCTCTTACATTGACTCGTATATTGCGGTCAAATGTATTCATATAATCCGGGTTTTCAATGCCAGCCTTAATACAAATGCCGGCGTTATTGACCAGAATATCAATTGTGTTGAACTCAGCGATAGTCTTGTCAACCAAACTCTTCACAAACTGATCGTCGGTTATGTCACCAAAAATTCCGATTGCTCTGCGTTTGTATAGTGTCTGACATTTGTTGACCACTTCATGGATGCCGTCCTCTTCCAGACCAGTGATCACTACATCCGCGCCCAAAGACGATAACTTTAGGGCCACTTCTCGGCCGATACCCGAAAACGAGCCTATTTTTAACAATATATAATTTTACTTATATAAAAAATTAATTGTATGTTTATTACACCTGTAATTAATGCCACCTTTCCAGATAAATCTATTGCATCTATTTTTGTTGTTAATGATATAAATGATCAATATAAAATTAATTAAATTCAGTTAGACAATTTTATAGTTTCAAAAGTGCAACATCATTATTAATGCAATTTGGTGTATACTGTAATAATTTTTCAAACGCATACTTGTAATAAATAAATAGCAATATCATTTATAAATGACTTTAAAATTACAACGTTTTAGTAAATGTTTGAATTTGATTTTTAAATATTTAATATTTAAAAGTTTTAAACTATATAGAATAAAATTATTTTATTTATTATTCCTTTATTAAATAAATATATTATTCTGTCACACACTTATTACAAAGAATATAATTTTTATCTAATATTTTTTAATGTAACTAATTATAAAATCAGTTTAGCAACTTTATTGTAAAATATAAAACAATAAATATAGCCTTACTGTTTGGAAATTTAATTTAAATATACAAAACTTATGTGTGTAACTCAAAATGGAAATGTGATACTCATTATATAAATAATATTAATTAAAATCTAATAATATTTATCATGTTTTTAGATATTTATCAAGTATTAGAACTTTTTAAATAAACCGTATGTCTATATAAGTCGATGTCCGCCGTCGACCGGGAAGTGAGCGCCGGTTATGAAGGCAGCCATCGGTGAGACCAGGAATGCCACCGCATTCGCCACGTCTACCGGTTCACCCAATCGGCGCAATGGGTACTCACGTTCACACATTTGCTTAGCCAACTCTACATTACCCAATAGTGGGGTATTAATTGCACCAGGGCTAATCGCAATGCAAGTAATAATAAATTAAAATTAAAAAATATATATGGGCTCTCTCTCTCTCTCTCTCTCTCTCTTTCTCTCTTTCTCTCTTTCTCTCTCAAACATACTTAACACTATTTACTCGAACCCCTTTGGGTCCCAACTCTAGTGCCAAACACTCGGTAAACATATTGACAGCGCTTTTTGACTGACAATACGAGTTGATTGTAAACATCTTTAATACAACAATATTAATAGTAATTACAACATTAATAAAAATTTTCTAATATACTAATAAATTAGTACAATGATTGCATCTAGTTAAGATCATACCGGTTTGTTGGCGTTCACACTCGATGTATTAACAATGCAACCATTGCTGGCCACCAGATATGGCACCAATAGCTGTGTCAACACTTGCATCGCTCTTACATTGACTCGTATAATGCGGTCAAATATATTCATGTATTCCGGGTTTTCAATGCCAGAGTACATTAAAATGCCGGCATTATTGACCAGAATATCAATTTTGCTAAACTCGGCGATAGTTTTGTCGACCAAAATCTTCACAAACTGGTCGTCAGTTAAATCACCAAAAACTCCGAGTGCTTTGCGTTTGTATAGTGTCTGACATGTGTTGACCACTTCATGGATGGCGTCCTCTTCCAGACCAGTAATCACTACATTCGCGCCCAAAGACGACAACTTTAGGGCCACTTCTCGGCCGATACCCGAAGACGAGCCTATTTTTAGCAATTTATATAATTTTAATTATATTAGAAATTAATTGTATATTTATTAAACCTGTAATTAATGCTACTTTTCCAGTTAAATCCATTACATGTATTTCTGCTGTTAATGATAAAACTAATTAAATTTATATTCAACTAGACAATTTCATAGTTTCAAAATTGCAATATCATTATCAAGGCAATTTTGCGTAACTATTATATTAATTTTTCAGTTCAACCAAACGCACACTTGTAATAAATAAATATTATTATCATTTAAAAATGTTTAAAATTACAACGTTTTAGTAAATGTTTGAATTTAATTAAATATTAACTATACAAAAAGATATTATTTTATTTACTATTGTTTTATTAAATAAACATTATTTAACATATTATGCAGAATATTAAAACATTTTATTTAATAATTACAACTAGTTAATATTTTTACAAAATAATACACGAGAAAATACGCATAATAATGATCAGTAAAATATAAAATTTATTTTATGATCAATTTATTTATTTTTCTTTAACACAAAATCGGGTCGAGTAGTGATGACGGCGCCAATCATCACATTCATCGCGTACTGACTCGTCAACCGCTCATCATGACCTTGTTCAATTGGCGCACAAACACACGCTGGGCCTCGTAATACCGGTCGCCGTACGCCTGTCGCACCGGGTTCTCGGTGTTAGCCCACGTGTCGGCCAGCATATGGTCGCTCAGTTCAACCATATTGGTCCGAAAGTTTAGGGGCTCCACAGCAGACACCCCTACACCGAATCGGCCCATCTTTTGCCGCAGGGTATGTGTCAGTGATATGAGTGCCGCTTTGCTGGAGCCATAAACACCAAAATTGTCCATGCTCAATTGGCCAAATGCGCTGTTCATCATTACCACCCAGCCTGGTGACGACAGTTGCGGCCAAATCGGCCGGGGATTAGTGCCCGACCCCAGAGCGCCCGACACGCTGACCGCTCGGCCGACACGATTGGCGTTAAAGTACAAAATAAAGTACATTTACTGTTTTGGCAACTCGTCGTTCGCCGTCACCGCAGAGGGGGGCCGAGTGTACAGTTGGGGCGAGAACTACATGTCCTGTTTGGGCCACAAGGGCTCCGGTATGGACTACCGGGTGGTCACCGCTCGACTCATATCACACATGAATAGCGTGGAGACCGTGTGCTCCAGCGGTTGCACCACGTATTTCCTACGGGCCGATGGCCTAGTATCGTTTTGCGGTGGTTATGAAAATAATCGTGGTGAACCCATGAGACAAACCAGCCCTCGCCAGTTGGGTAGGAAAGTGCACTTCCGTGACCTCCAGGCCATCGCCGGCTATAAGAAGGACATCTCATTCGTGATTGGCTTAAAAGACAACACCGTTTACAAGATTTTGGACACAAATACTGTCGTTAAGACCGGCTTTGAGTCGTTTTATCACTTCTACGCCAATGAATATCAGTTGACATTCAAGACTATGAGACTAAATGAATGTAATGTTAATTACAATATTAATAATAATAGTCTGCGGTTTAAGTGCAATAAACGGCCGACAATTGCCGGTGTGTTGAAGTCGGTGTCCGCCACACAAACTGATGTTAACAATAATAATTATAATTATATTTATAAAAATA